ACTGTTCCCATGAAATAAACATTCTTACCTATTTTTGGATAAATTGGAATTGAGATACGAAAATTACATTTCCTTTTTCCCCACCAAAACCACCACCCACCCACCCACCCACTTCTCCTCCGCCGGCTCAAAATGGGAATTCTATCATCACTATGCAAAAACCTCCGCACTTGTTCCATTAGAACGCACTCCAATTCCGCGCTATCCCTTCTGCGGCGCATGAGCAATGTCCCGGAAAACACCGTCTACGGCGGCCCCAAGCCCCAGAACCACACCCAGCGCGTGACCCTCACTCACCTCCGCCAGAAGCACAAGAAGGGCGAGCCCATAACCATGGTCACGGCCTACGATTACCCGTCGGCGGTGCATTTGGACACCGCCGGGATCGATATCTGCTTGGTCGGCGATTCCGCAGCGATGGTGGTCCACGGCCACGACACCACTCTCCCCATCACGGTTGATGAGATGCTCGTCCACTGCCGCGCGGTGGCGCGTGGCGCCACTCGCCCTCTGCTCGTTGGGGACTTGCCTTTTGGTAGCTACGAGTCCAGCACTCATCAGGTGACAATTTTGCTTAATTATGCGATGACAATTGCTGCCATTTTAAGTAATTTAATATATCTAATTATCTATTAGCATTGTAGCATATTGTTGTATTATCTGTCATATATATAAATTTATGCTTTTGATTTGGTACCAAGTTTCGATTTTTTCCGTACTTCTTTGATCAAAGCCGCGATTTTCACTCGCCATTGTTTGAAGCAACCAACGAGAATGTAGAAATTTTATAGGCTTTTACAACTGCGATTTATAAGGCTCAATTTCTCTTGTGACTAGTAATGAATTAAAACTTGTGATATTTACAATCGAAGAGACAAAGACCCTCTTTTTTAATCTGTTTTTTTGTTGTTTCCATAATTTCGGGTTTGTGAATGTATGTATGGTTGGTGATTTGCAGTTTGAATTATGAGCAGGCAGTTGATACAGCTGTAAGGGTTTTGAAAGAAGGAGGAATGGATGCAATCAAATTGGAAGGTGGGGCCCCTTCAAGAATCACAGCAGCTAAAGCTATTGTCGAAGCTGGTATTGCTGTTATGGGCCACGTCGGTCTCACCCCTCAAGCCATTAGTGTTCTTGGAGGATTCAGGCCACAAGGCAGAAACGTCGATAGCGCAGTCAAGGTGTTTGATTTTATTCCTCAAAGAGGTTTTTTATTACATTTAAAAAGCTCTAAAACAAAGCATAATTTCATTTTTAGGGGAGAATTTGAAAAATCGGGCCAAACATTGCCTAAGGCTTGTATTGTTTTTTTTTTTTTTTTGTGAAGGTTGTGGAAACTTCAATGGCTTTGCAAGAAGCAGGGTGTTTTGCCGTTGTGTTGGAATGCGTTCCTCCGCCTGTGGCTGCTGCAGCCACATCAGCTCTTCAAATCCCGACTATCGGAATTGGTGCTGGTCCTTTTTGTAGCGGTCAAGTTAGTATTTTATTTTATTCAATTCTCTTACGATTTAGCAATATCGTATTTTGAACTATATTATTATATTATTAACTTTCTCGCGCAGGTTTTAGTGTACCATGATCTGCTAGGGATGCTACAACACCCACACCATGCCAAGGTTTATTCGAAATTAATTATTAATTTTAACGATATCGATTTTTTAATTTTATTTTAATGTTTACTAAGAAGTAAGAAAATCGGGATTTTGGCAGGTGACTCCAAAGTTCTGTAAACAGTATGCACACGTGGGAGATGTGATAAACAAGGCTCTTATGGAATATTCGGACGAAGTTAAAAACGGCAGTTTTCCAGGCCCGGCTCACAGCCCTTACAAAATCAGCGCTTCTGATATCGACGGTTTCATGCATGCCTTGCAGAAGATGGGATTGGGCGACGCTGCATCTGCAGCTGCCAATGCCGCTCAAAAGATCGAGCCCACAAAATAACAAAATGTTTTTTTTTTTTTACTATCTCGAAAACGATAAGATGCTTTCTTGAATGAGCTAAATAAAGGAGAGTATTCAGAATTCATGTTTGTAATGGGTTATTTCTATGCTACACCCGGTGAAGACAGCACCGGGTGATTTTTTACCGTTGATCTACACACACCAATGTGGGTGTGTGTGTGTATGAATGATAAAGATCTACTCGGTGTATTTAGTTTCACTTACCAAGATTGGTCGTTGTTTTTTTCAGGCAACATTCTTTGTATTAGTTTGAAAGAGGGAAGTAGATAAGAATTTAAAATCAAACCAAACTACTCGATTTCAGATCGTTTGTTAAAAAGCTTGTTCGAGCTCGGTTCAATAGCATAAAGAATCAAATTCGAAAACATTTCGGCAAATGATGGAGTTTGGATTGTCGGATTTGAAGAAAACAAACCGTTAAAATATGTGTGAAAATTAAGGTGCTCGAGCTCGATTCGTGTTCGATTTGATTTAAATCCGTTTTAGCTCGACTCGATTGCTTAATTTCATTACTCGAACAAATAACCTATTTCCCATAAACCCTTATTATAGAGTCCCACGCTTTAATCTTCTTCCTAATTTTGCTTCTGAGAATCGAGCATGAGGAGAATCACACTAAAACCTTTCAAAACCCCACCCGCCGCCGCCGCCGCCAATAATCTCCGTCGCTTCTCCGCCGATGTCCACCCCGTACCTCCGTCGACGCCGTCGCCGGATCTCTCTTCCCCAATCTCTCAGACACTCTCTCTCCTCCAAACCACCGATCCCAGCTCCTGGCCTACCAACTCCAACCTCCAAACCCTCCTTTCCTCCCTCTCCCCACCGGCCGTCCTCAGAGTCACCCGCCAGCTGCCGAATTACCAAAATGCCCTCCATTTCTTCAACCACCTGAAGACCGCCGCCGAGCTGTCCGATTCCATCCCCCTCGCATTCCAAGCTGTTCTCGAGGTCGCCATGCGCGAAAACCCAGGAACGCTGTGCGAGCTTTTTGTGCTGTCGAAAGAGCAGAATATTCCACTTTCTGTCAACGCGGCGACTCTCCTGATCAAGTATTTTGGTCGGGGCAAGAAGCTGGATGAAATGATGTCCGTATTTGATTCAATGGACGAGGAAATGAAAAACACGGACGTGTTGAATTTAGTTATTGTTGGGTTTTTGAAATGGGGACGTTTTAACGATGCCTTGAAGCTGCTTGACGAAATGCTTGAGCCGGATTCTTGTTATCCTCCGAACACGAATACCGCGGGCATTGTTTTCTCCTCCATATTGAAGAAAAATTGGAGTGGCAGGAGAGTGACGGACGAGGAAATCTGCAACCTCGTTACCAGTTTTAGTGAACACGGTGTTTCTCCGAAAAGTTTTGGTTTTTGGTTTACACAAATCATCAAGAGGTTTTGTAGGAACAAAGAGTTCGACAAGGCTTGGGTTGTTTTGCACGAGGGAATAAAATCAGGGTCCGATGTGGAGATTGCATCTTGCAATGCACTATTAACAGGGTTAGCGAATAATCATGATTTTGCAAGAATGAATTTGCTTATGAAGGAGATGAAGGAGAGTGGGATCAAACCAAATATTGTGACTTACGGAATTACAATCAATCAATTGAGTAAATTGCGAAGGTTGGATGAGGCATTGGAGGTGCTTGAGCAAATGAGGGGTGGAGAAGTTGGCGTAGAACCTGATGTTGTTATATACAATACATTAATCAATGGATTGTGTAAAGTGGGGAGGCAAGATGAGGGTTTGAAGTTAGTCGAGAAGATGAGACCGGAGAAAAAGTGCCGACCAAATACGATTACTTATAATTGCTTAATCGATGGATTTTGTAAAGCTGGTGAGATTGACAAGGGCAACGAGCTTTTCGAACAGATGAGCAAAGAAGGTGTGGAGATTAATGTCGTTACGCTCAATACTTTGGTAGACGGGATGTGTAAGCACGGAAGGGTTAGCAGTGCAATGGAGCTTTTTAATAACATTCGAGAGAAAGGCGTGAAAGGGAATGCGGTTACTTACACAGTCCTCATAACAGCTTTCTGCAATGTTAACAATATCGACAGGGCGATGAAGCTGTTCGACGAAATGCAAGAAAACGGTTGCTCTTCAGATGCCGTTGTTTACTACAGCTTGATCTCAGGTCTTTGCCAGGCTGGAAGAATGGATGATGCCACCTTTGTTGTGTCGAGGATGAAGGAAGCTGGTTTCTGCTTAGATGTTGTGAGTTACAATATTCTGATCGGTGGGTTTTGCAGGAAAAATAAATTGGACAAAGCAGCCGAGATGCTTAAAGATATGGAAACAGCTGGAGTGAAGCCCGACCGTGTTACGTACAACACTCTGCTCTCGTTTTTCTGCTCCAACGGAGATTTCAAACATGCCCACAAAGTGATGAAAAAGATGATCGGGGATGGTTTGACACCTAACGTTGTTACTTACGGGGCAATGATTCAAGCGTATTGCACGAGTAACAATATAGACGCGGCTATGAAAATATACACAGACATGAGTTCTTCGTCAAAGGTACCTCCAAATACTGTAATATATAACATGTTGATTGACTCCCTTTGCAAGAATGATGGTTTGGAAGTTGCTCTTACGTTGATGGATGATATGAAGGAAAAGGGGGTGAGGCAAAATAGCAACACATATAATGCTCTGTTTAAAGGGCTTCGGCAGAGGAAAATGCTTGAGAAGGCACTGGAATTCATGGATCAAATGACCGAACAAGCGTGTAATCCTGACTATGTTACGATGGAGATCCTCACTGAGTGGCTTTCTGAGGTCGGTGAGATAGAAAAATTGCGTAAGTTTGTGCAAGGGTACCAGGTTTCTGCTTCAACCATATAAAGAAAATATGGTCTGAGAAGGAAATTACAGAAAGGACCTTTCTGTTGCCTCAAGAAAAAGATATGCAAGTTGAATATCGAAGTTATAATATCCGGTTAATGGAAATAACCGTCTACATTGTACAGTAGGGGGGGGGGGGGAACTTTGTTGAGATAATCGAGAAATCATGCTTGTTCAGCTTGGGATTTGCCCAATTCTCAAGAAATCGATTTGTTTCCACAATTGACGAGGTTACTTAATTTGTCTACATGTTTTCTTTATTTTTTTCGGTGGAAGTGGAGAAAGAATGAGATGCCCCTTCTGTATTGTCTATTATTTCCCCTAGTCCGATGACGTTTTTACGGAATATTGCTCCAATTAAAGATTTATTTTATTTGTCGTTCACAAAGACTCGTAATTTTTTGTCCAATGTAGCACATGATTCAGTTTTTAAGTGCAGCTCTCGGACATCTTTCGAAGAACAGGAAATCGAGAAGGGTTGGTGATTTAATTTCTACATAACCTTGGTATTACGGAACTCGTGTCTCGTTATTTTCTTTGAAATCGAAATACTCGGTAGTATTTCAATTTTTAGTGTTGAAACTTCACAGTAACTATTTTACTTTGTGTACTGTATACAATAAATCTGATGGGAACTGCTTTTTTATCACAGTTCGTATTTGTCTCTATCAGAGCATCCCCATGAAGAATATGACTTGTATTTAAACACATTAGATATTGATATTGGAGCTGTCATGCATTACTGTTGTACCATAGATTCTACTTGGGATTGGGAAATAATTTTATTAAACACAATCAGTACCAACAAATGAATAATTATCAAACACCACCCCCCCCCCCCCCCCCAAAAAAAAAAAGGAATTTGAAAATGTATATTTATAAGGGTAATTTACGGCCACCTCCGAGGTATTACAATCACCCTCTTCCCCTCAACTATGCCTCTGCTTACACGTTCATTTTTATGGTGCAAATTCTACATTTTGTAGAATATTCTCTAGTATGTAATTGTTTTGTGCATAAATGCAGTATGTAATGTACCTCAATCTGATATTTACAAGTCAAGAGACACATCTTATGATCATCTCGTTTCAAAATGTAGAGCTCGAATGGGGTAAACGTGTGCAAATTGAAGAATATTCCACATAATCTAGAATATTTTACTAAATTTGTCACTGATTGACGTGCAAGAAGATTAACAGTTGATGAATGGTTGTGATTACGCAAACATGAGTGATTTTTTCGTAATTAGATTTTACACGGGTGCTCGTAATTTATTCTATTTATAAAGAAATAAATCATAAGTCATAATTTAGCATCCATGTGCAATAATATTAGCACTATCTAAGATAAAATGGAATAAGCTCCTTTTTCCTCTACAAGTCTGTCTTTATGATTTGACATATTTAATTTATACCCAAAATAAAATAAAATAAAAAATTAAAAATTAAAAAAAGATTTGTGATTTTCAAGATTCTTTACAGCTCTGGACCGGACAAAAAGTTATGCCTACAAAATGAAGAAAAGCACTCCCCACAATTAAAGTCAACCACCGCCGGTGATGGTCGAAAGCCAAGGCAACTGCACCGAAAACTGGCCGGAACATTCGCCGGAATCTGTGGCGGTTATATCCTCCAATCCGGCGAAGAAATCTTCGTCCAGTGCCATTTCCGAGATGCTAAATTCGTCGTCGTCTTCGTCGGCGGCCGCCTCAGCTAAGTCGTCGTCCCGGCTGCTCTCCATCTTTTCTGGCGAAGACGAAGTGGGTTGTTTGTTGGGGTCGTCGGAGATGGGCGTCTCGGCCTGCTTGTTGCGAGTGCTGCCGGCGAGAGAGTTCCGGTGAGCTGGGATGGGGTGGTTGTGCTCCGCCGTGTAGGTAACTATGAACATACCTGGGTCGGATCTGTTCCGCTCCACTTGCTTTCTCGCCAGACACCCTTTTGATGTGCTGCATCTGTAATAACCCCTGCTCGTGCAAACAACAAATTAATTAGCAACAAATTCAAGAAAATATATATATACACATATATGTGTGTAGATATAAATGTTTGTGAGTTAAAATTAAAACCTTGGGTAGGGTGAGCCTTTAATGGGTTTTTGTCCATATTTTCTCCAAGACCACATATCAGAAGATAAATTCTCTGCTGCCACGTGGCAAACCCTCTTCAAATTGTTCTTCCTGTAATAAAATTTCACCCCAAAAAAATCAGAACCAAACACAAATTCCAGATCCATCAATTTTTTTTATTTTTTTTTTGCAGCTTAAAATGAATAAAAAAGAAAGAAAAAAATACCTTCTTTTGGACCTCGGAGGAGGTGGGTGTGAAATAACACTAGCTTTTGGTGAGCAATTAGCGACGGAAAAAGCTTGTTGCTTTTGCCGGAGATGTGTCGGCGGAGGTAATTGTTTCATTATTTGCAGATGTTGTTGTTGTTGTTGTTGTTGTTGTTGTTGTTGTTGCTGTTTTTGTTGGTGTTCAGATGGTAGATCTTGGAGTCCTCCAAGAACAGAGAGTGGTGAAATAGGTAAATTTTGCGACGGAATTACTTTTAGCGACGAAGATTCCTCCGACGAGGGGAAAAACGGTCGGTAAAGCTCATGCAGTTCTTGTACGAAGCTCTCTCTTCTCGGCTCAAACAGATCTTTAAAGCTAGTGCAGTTTTGCTTCAAAGTACTGAAAACTCGGCCGTGTGAGGTGGTGCTTGTCAACTCTCCGGCGGCGGCGGATGTGGATGTGGTGGTGGTGCATATGGCGGCGCAGCCTCTGACCACCGCGTGCAGATCCCAATCGTCCTCCATTTTTTTTTTTCTTGCTGTATGGCTGAAGCTATGAAGAGACAAAAGAAGGCGCTGACTTTTGGAAATTTGGTAGAGAGAGAAGGTGGGGGGGAAAAAGTTATGGAGGTAGCAATTTTATTTATAGAGAGAGAATGAGAGATGGTTTTGTTTTCTCTCACTAGAAAGTCTAGAGAGAGAGAGGGGTGTGTTTTATTTTGGAGGGCAGTGGTGGAATTAATAATTATCAATGGGGGGTTTTGGCATTTGGCTTATCTTGTTATCTTTCTTTTTCTTTAGTTTGTGTTCATAAAATTAAGTCCCAACCCAAAAAAAAAAAGAAATTAATTTTTTAATGGTTAGTGGGTTGACTTTGTAAAAATGTCAAAGGGGTGTGTGTGTGTGAGAGAGAGAGAGAAAAGAAAAAGGTCTACGCGGTGGTGTATTATTAGATCTCGTGAGAGTGTTTGTGGAGGGCACTTGCCGACAAATAGAAAGAGAGGCAAGACACGTGGGAGAGACCCCCATTCAAGAAATTTGAAGGACGTGTTGTTGACTCGAGACTCCTGCGCGTGGCGTACCTCAATTTCTTTAAGAAACATATGGTGTTATTTTAATGAACGCTATAAAAGGGGACTAATGTGTATAGTTTAAAATGTCTATTTTAATCATAGGAAACAAATAGGAAAAATGAAATATTAATACTTAACAATAAACGTAATAAAGCAATGGGGGAACCATAAAATTTTGGGTCAGTAAACGAGTCGACTTCGAACTCGCTCGACCTCATGTAAAATTATATGAGTTTTTGCCAAGTTCCCTGGAACCTGGTTTTTTTTTTTCAATCTCAAGCTCATTGGTAAGGCTCACGAGCTCTCATTCACTTAAGCAAGTTTGATTTCGAATTTTAAGTATTTTTTTATTTTATTATATATTTATAACAAAAAATAATAAGTGTTGAACTCTTTTTTTAATATCTAAACAAGTGTAATTTTTTTTAAGTATTATTAATAATATTGATATATATATATATTGTAAAAATATATAAACAGAAGCTCACGAGCCGGCGATAAAAGATGATATTCTAAGCTCGGCTGATCATAAAACTCAAGCTCATAAGCTCGAGCTAATATTTTTTGAACTTAAGCATTTTTATTTATAAAAATATATTAAATTTACAAACTCGAGCTCAAGCTCACCAACTTTGTCAGGCTCGACAAGAGCTCTGCTTGTTTAAACGCGTACTATATAATACTCCATCTGTTCCACAATAACTGTCTCTTTTTAAAAATATTTTTGTTCCATATTATCTGTCACTTTAGATTTCCAATACTGCATTAAATGCATTTTTTCTGTTTTAACCTTATTAATGAAACTCTATTCATTAATTTTCTCTTATAAATCATTAAATATTAAAGGTTGTTTTAGTCATTTTTATATGATTTTTCTAAAATCAAGATATATTTATTGATATTTATTGAGTTTTTTAATCTTTGTGAAAAGTGACAATTGTTTATGAACGAATGGAAGTACTCCCTCTGTCCCATATTATATGTCTTTTTAGAGAGTTTTTTTTGTCCCAAATTATTTGTCATTTTAGATTTTCAATGAAGCATTAATTGCATCATTTTCAATTTTACCCTTAATCACTCATAATTAATTAGTTAAGAATCAATTAATGTTGAGGATATTTTAGAAATTGTATCTGTTTTTTTACTATAATCTATGCACATTTATTGATTTTCTTAATATGTGCAAAACAACCCAAAACGACATTTAAATTGGGACGGAGAGATTATATAATATATAGTATATACGGTCTTAACCATGTTAATTGGTCTTAACCATGTTAATTGGAGTCAACTCAGTGTATAAAACTCACGCGCATATTCCGCGGCTGTGGGTACCTTGTCAACGAGGTTGACTCTTTCAACGGGTACAAGGTTCATCGAACGGCTACGAGGCGAGGATCCATGAGATAAGAGTGAGGTGGCATGACAACTTGCAGGTGTACTAGTGGGCCCCATGCAGGAAATGGTCGCAAGCGTGCGCCGTGCCCTTAAATGCTAAACTAAAAGCCTGTGTCTTATTGCAGCGTATCCTATGTCTGTATATCAACGGCCAGGATTTTGTTTGATTGGCGATTGATCAGTGATCGTGCGGTCACCAGCCTTTTGTTTTCAATTTTTCTGTGCGATTTTTTTTTTAAATGGAATTCGAAAATAGGGATGGTTTTAAATTGTAAATTAAATAAACAATTTTTTTGTTTATTATTATTATTTCTTTTAAATACATACATGTCTGAATATTTTATTTTTTTTATTAACCAAGTTTATTTATTTTTTGACAAACTTATCAAGATAAATAAGTAAATAACGAAGTCCCAAATTTTCATATATATAAACTCCCATATATATAATTAGAATTAAGTGGGTTTGGGGAGCTTTGACAAAAAAAGAAAAGACCAATACGACAAGAAAATTACTAAAATATAAAATTTAAGAAAATGATAGATAGACAACTACCACTAGATAATAATACTTCTTTTTTTTATTCGCCGCCGCATGGGTATAACTCGACTGATTTCGAGGATGGTAAATTGGTGCAATGTACTGAGAACGAGTTCTCACAAACGTAAAATGAGAATTTCAACTATTATAAGGGTTTATTCTTTATGGACTACAGGTTCAAGTCTACTATACTAACTAACCTTTAAATTATCGTGATTACATTTAGGGCTGGGACTTTGGGATTGGGATTCGGGATCCCGTCCCGTCCCGATTAGAATTTTACTATTTGGGATTAAAACTTCGGGAATTCGGGATTACGGGATTCGGGATTGGGATTAGGAACAAATACGGGATCGGGATTCGGGAATTGGTTCAATCCCGATCGGGATATTTTAATCCCGAATTAGGAAAAAAGAAAAAAAAACTAATAAACACACACACACACACACATATATATATATATATATATATATATATATATATATATATATATATATATATATATTTGTCAAGGAGATGAGAAATACAATATAATATATCGTTTCAACTTATTTTTAAATTTTTCAAATTTCATTTGTTCCAAGTTTTGTGGTAAAAATAAATAGTGCAATAATAATAGTATGTATATAATATATATTCAAGTTGGTTTAATGTATAAAATAATACTAATGGAAAAAAAAAACAATATTTCTTAGTTTTTAGCCAAAATATGGGATTCCCGATCCCAATCCCGAATTCCCGAAATATATAGGGATACCGATATTACCGGGATTTAATATTATGGGACGGGATTGGGATTTAAAATTTCTATCCCGAATCCCGAAATCCCGATCCCGAAAATCCTGAATTCCCGAAATCCCGTCCCGAACTCACCCCTAATTACATTCTCTAATCAGCCAGACCAGGAAACGAGGGCCCAAGGGCGAGGGCTTTTGCTTTTTTTTAAGATGGATAACTTCCACCATTTAATTAGCACTATTAGAGGCATTCTTGCATTACTCAATCAAATCAAATCAACCCATCCAATATATCATTATCATTTTCTTTTCTATCCATTATTGTTTAACAATTAATATGTAACGGGGTTAAATTACTAAATATGCATTATAAGAATTCTAAAATATTTGGTCACATGATGTTTTCACCCTTTAAAAAAGTTCATTGATTTTGCCAATTATTGTAATAAATAATAATAACATTTTACTATCGTGTCAAACTATAGTATAGTTTGTTCAACATTAAGAAAATAATTCATCACGTCATCACTTAATCGGTAGATTAAGAGAGAACGATGTTTAACAGTTCGAGTTTAATTATTTTTGTCGATAATTTTTTAAGTCGAACTTATTACACATCGTAAAAGCCCAATGTTAATTACACATCTCATTTCTTTCAAAATTACGATAGCTCGTAAATTACAAAACTAAAGGAATTATTTTATAACTAAATTTTATCGTCAATATTTTTTTATAATAATTTACCTAAAAAAATTAATACATTAAAAAAATTAGTAGATCAAGTATAAATCATAATCAATATCATTTTACAAACAAATAAAAAAATGGAAAATTAACAATTAGTTAGTGGTATTGGTTGGGCCAGAATTATTTAGCCCAATTATAACTCCGTTAAACTTCACAGCCCAATTTTAAAGTGAATTAATGGAAAGTGAATTTCGGCGCCTTTTTCCCGCGCGAAATGTTTACAGAAAAAAATTCAAAAAATTTGCCCTAACCCGCTCTCTCAAAAAATTATTCTCCTAAACCAATAAAATGAAGAAAATTGAAGCAATTCTCTGCAAAATGCAGATATGGTTGGATGTAATAACAATGGCGATGCCAATAGCAATTCATTCTCAAAGACAATTTGCTCGATCTGCTACGAAGATCTCAAACCCTCAATCGAAGACCTACAATCCATCTCCATCTGCGGCCACGTTTTTCACGAGCTCTGGTGAGTTGAATCGGACTCGACTCGCTCGTTTTGCTTCATCGTTCTATTCTTCGTGCGAAAACGAAAAGATTTTTGTTTGAAAAAAATCATGTTTGAAGTTTTTTGTAGATCCCTAATTCCCTTTTTTTTTCCGATTGATTTTGCAATTTATGGTGTTTTACTAGTCATTAATAATTTCTTAGGGAAACTGTAATTAATTGTGTTAATGGTGAACTGTAGCCTTCAGCAATGGTTTGAGTACTGCCCAAATGTGAAAAAGAGGAGTTGTCCTATATGCAAACAAAGTTGTACCAATTCGAATGTGGGCCGCCTCTATTTTCAATCTATTGGCGATTCAAATGATTCTAGTTTATCTCAAAAGCCATCGAATTACGGGGAAAATCCCGATGAATTGCAAAATGAGGTCAACAGGTTGGAGGGGAAGGTTGTGGCCATGGCTTCGACTTTCGAGCAGCAGCAGAAAGAGTTGAAGGAAGTTAAGGATCAGGTAATACTATCGAGCCTTTTTTTTAACCACACGAGAATCCTTTCGTTATGTCGAATATGAAATTCATTCTACATTATTCTATTGATCTAATTGTTTTTTTTCTGGAATACCTAATTGATTTGCAAAATTAAAATATGTAAATTTATTTAAGTGTATGAGTTGAAGCCCTTTCACATCCGTACAAACTCCAAGCAAATCTTGAACATAGGATTTGAAAGTTTCACGTAATTTCACTTTCTGCCGTATGTTTTGAGTGTGTCGAAATCAAAATCCAGCTGTTGTTAGTATTCGTGAAACAGGTTTCTCGGTTATTCCCTGGTTACAGATATGCAATAAAACTGTTTCTCATGTAATAAAGATCTTATATTGTAGCTCCTCTCGTGTAAGGAAAAACTGAAAGCAGAAGTTGCACTAAAAACTGAAGCTCTGTCTCAGAAAGCAACCAGTCAGCAGTTGCTTCGGGTGAAATCTGAGGTACTTTTCCTTCCAAAATAGATACAGCGTGTATGCATGTATGAAATGTACATTCATGGACCAGAAATTACTCGGTTCAACATTTTTTTTAAGAATTCTTGATGATTAAAAGCATTTTTATGAATTCGGTGAATCGTGTTGCAGGAGTTGGATAGATCAATATCGGAACAATTGAGACTGCAAGAGAGAAATATTACTTTGGCCAAGGAACTCGCAGCACTTAAACTGTATGTGGAGATTGTGTTGTCGATTCAATATTTAACAAGCTTTACTAAAATACAACTTTTTGTTGCTAAAAAAATGCATTATTTTCGTTTTATTGCAGAGCCTCTGATTTGGACTTGGAAGAAGACGAAGTCGCGAAGCTTGCTTCGTTAGGAAACGATGCTGGCAGCAGAGAAACAGTTGATGTCCTGAAAAAGTCGTTGGTGATTCGGAACAAGTAAGAGTTTTATTGTGTGTGTGTGTGAGTGTGTGTTTGTTTGTTTGTTTTTTTTTCTTTTTTTTTTTTTGTAATTTCCTATTGATGTATAATGGAGTGGCTTATCTGTATGGTTAAAATTTTGAATAATAAATTTAAGCTAAAAATATCATATTGTTCGAGAAACCATGCGATCGTGATATTTAGGTAATCAGTATATGATTAGTGTTGCATTGCCATGTAGGTGTTACAAGGAACTAATGGCCAAGTGCAGCGTTTTAGGGAGGGGAGAGGCTCGGTGCCTAAGTAAACTCGAGAAAGCTAATGAAAAGATAAAGAAGCTCAAGGTTAGTTAAATACAAAGCTCAGAAGTGAGTTGAATTTTTTCAGTTTTCGTATAAAAGAATAACTCAACATCCACTATTTTTTCAGTCGAGAGTCCAAGAACTCGAGACCGCTGTTGAAATCAAAGACAACGAAGCGTTGAGATTGCTAAAAAATCAGGATACCAAATTCAAGACCCCATCACCTGACAGTACACTGAAGAGATCTGCAAATCAATTTGATTTAGACGAAACTATCGATTTGCCAGACACCACATTTCGTTCGAGGAAAGTAGCTCGGAAAAACCCAGTAGACGATAGTTTACCTGGATGTAATAATGACAAGGACAAGGACAAGGACACTGTGTGCTCCTCAACTTTTGTGCAAGGATTCTCAGACAAAAAATCGACGCCAGTTACAGACAAGAATGTCTATATGGAGAGATGCCATGTAGATTTTGATTCACAAAACGAAGTAGAAACAGTAAGACACGGCAACAAAGATGGAGTGTCTTGCTCTTGGTCTATGAAAAAAGGTGAAAATAGGGATCAGACGAATAACCTGCCTGCTAATATAGACGACGACTTGATATGCTATGGCGAAAGAAATCCAATTCAAGCCTCACTTCATGTTAGAAACGAGATTAGTTCTTCGACCTCAGTTCCTCAACCTGGTAAATCTTTTCACATTGAATTCTGAAGACACGTTCTTTTTTTGTGGTATTGCTGTTGATGACTGATTAAGCCTAATATCGATTTAGCATTATTTATTAAAAATAATTTTTTTTTGATCGAAATCTTGCAAAATTTCCAGGCGACCATTGTTTTTCGGGTGGGTTATTGGGCCCCGATGGAACAAACTGGCACTTAGGGAAATGGTGCAAGAAAGCTCAGAACATCAAACCAAATGCAATAACAGGTGACTTGATTGCCGTTGGAGCTGACGGAAGAGGCGGCCGAATCAAAGTTATGAGATCTCTCGATGAAACATCATCGGTGCGTTTTTGTTGGGTTTCGTTTTCTAATTTTGTCAATTTGAAAAGTCGAATTCTTGATAGTATTACTATACTTAGTTAACGTAGTAATCGAGTATTCTTTTGACGTGTTTCGATTTTATTTTTGTGCAGGATTCGAAAGATACTTCATCTTGGGTAAAAAAGTGCAAACTTGGTGCCAAACCAAACAAATTGAAGCCTAAAGGACACTTGCAGATCGAGCATTTCTTTCGTAGGACAGGTCAATGATCAAATTAGATTAGTGGATATCGAAATTTCGTATGTGTTACAATTTCGAATTCCAGTTTTTGACAAAACAAAATTTTTGAAATTTGGAATGAAAAACTCGATCGGAAATTATCTGGTCGGACCGTTCCGATTTTAACGACAATTCCAGGGGTACAAATGCAATTAGATTATTTGGAGACTGACACCTGGAAACCTCGAAAGAACGAGCACTCCGGAGCTGGGAGATGAGTTTTTCAAGCTTCATAATTCCACATTGCCAGAAATACAAAGATACAATCTTTCAAAGGCTATTTTGCAGCTTAAAACCCAATAATAATTGTTAATAATCACTCCCACTGCATTCAAATTGTTATACTTTTTGTCACTAATTGTAATTATTATATCAATTATTAGACAAATAAATGGCCATCAATTAGCATCATCAATAAATAGCCATCAATTATATAATATTGATAACAATATTATTCATCTAAAAAAAATAACAATATTATTGATGTAAACCTAGGGGTGTGAACGAGTTGAGCTCGCCAAAATTTCCAGGCTGAAGCTCAAGCTCGTATCCAATTTTGCGAGCTCGAGCTCATCGAGCTTTTATTTTCTAAGCTCAAGCAAGCTCAATCGGATTTATCGAGCTTGAGGTCAATTCATTTGTTAATTTTTAGGTTTTTTTTCTAATTTTAATATTAATATTACTTTATTTTATGACTATAAAACTAAAAATAAACTGTAATTTTTTTTATATGTATTTATTTAATATCATTTAAATAAAAAAAATAAATAAATAAGAAGCTCGAGAGCTGTCGAACAATTTTGAACTTGGGCTCGAGTTCGAGTTCGAGATTTTATCGAGCCGGCTCAGCTCATTTACCACTGCTATGTAAACTAGGGGTGGTAAACGAGCCGAGCCGACTCGTGAGCTCGATGAGCCGGCTCAAAAAAAGATCGAACTCGGACTGAAGTTTTTCGAGCTCGAACTTTCTAACGGGCCGAGCTCGAACAAAAAAAATATTAAAAAAAAAGCAAAACAAAAATGAGCTCGAACTCGACAAAATGGCACGAGCTCGAGCAAAAAAAGAACGAACTCGAGCTAGACAAAATAGACTCAAGCCTGCGAAAAGAGGCGAGATCGGCTTGTCACACCCCATATGTAAACCTAAGGCCGGTGGAATTGTGTGTAATAATAATATTGCATTTTAGAACACTATCTTATATACCTTACCTTACACGATCTTCCCTCTGTCATTTGCCGCCGTCCCATATGATTTTTTTTTTCACCGTTCATCTATCAAATCTTCATCCATACATACCTAAATATTATTAATTCAATCCAACATTTTTGGAAACTATTCAAATATTATTGGATATTCTTCCAACATGTTTGCCTTTATTTAGATATGAATGCTTGCCTTCAAGCCTAACTTTTTGTGGACTATAACTCGTTTACGTCGTTCTTCAAGAATTTTTCGAACAATTAATTTATACGTAATATATCCAGCTCTCATCTTTTCCAACATTCCAAGAGTCGTCAACGGCGAGTTTTTAAGTTTCTTAAAATGGAAAAAAATTTGCTTCCGTCCTAAGTGCAACTACTTTCAATTTTCCCACATTTATAATCCATTATTGGATGGAATGAATGCTTCAATGATTACTTACAAAGTCGTTTGCGACTTTTAACTAATTTCTTGATGTTGTTTGTTAGACGCGTGTATTAGTGTTTTTAATTAAATTGGTATATATATATATATATATATATATATATATATATATATATATATATATATATATATATATATATATATATATATATATATATATATATATATATATATATAGTTTATTTTTTTTGTAATCTTTATTATAGTCTAAATAATATTTAATAATAAAAAAATAAAAAAACCCTAAAATGAGCTTGGGCTTGAGCTCGACAACATGAAATCGATCTCGAGCCTGCGAAAACAGGCAAGCTCGACTCGTTGACACTCCTACCTCCGCCACTGCGTAGACTAGTTTTGGAACAAGATCATGGAAAAGCTAACCTTCTAAAGTTAATGCATGCTCACTCACATGGTTTCAATTCACACTGGGCTACTTACTACTACGTACTAGGCAGTAGTAAGCACATACGATTGCATCATGAGCAAAATTACGAAAATAGCCTTTGACCAACAAATAAGAAAATAAATTCTTTCTAGTTATGGTAGTTTATTCTCCAAAGATTTGAACTTTGAAACCGACTTTCCCTCTTTTAGCCTTTTCCTCCGTGTTAGCCCCATTTCCCCCTTCACTCTCACTTGCCTATATATATATATATAATAATATACACCCCCACATATATATGCCACCTCATCATTCATCACCAACAAATTAAAAATATTCTCCTCCAAATCTTCACACACAACACACACACGCACTAAACAAGAACTCATCTTCACACACACACAACACACACTATAACAAGATTTCATATCTTATAAGAGCTCATTTGTACACACACAAAACACACTAAGACAAGAATTCATCTTTTACACACACAACACACACTAGATACAAGCTAATTAAGAACTCGTCTTCATCAAGAAAATTATTTGTATATACTAGTGTTGTAAGAAAAAATGGAAGTGATGAAGAGTGGAGACAGCAAATTTCGTTTGTCAAAGATAGCGACAAATGACGAGCACGGCGAAAACTCTCCGTACTTCGACGGGTGGAAAGCGTACGACAATGACCCTTTCCACCCCACCCTAAACCCTAATGGTGTTATACAAATGGGCCTCGCCGAAAATCAGGTTCCCCATTTTCTTTCATTTTTATATATAAACAAATTCTATGTATTGAGCAATTTATTTAATTTTTCGATATCAACCGGCCATTTTGCAGCTCTCTCTCGACTTGATCGAAGAATGGATAAAGAAGAATCCAAGTGCATCAATCTGCACTAGTGAAGGAATTCATGCATTCAAGAATATTGCACTATTTCAAGATTACCATGGTTTGCCTGAATTTAGAAATGTATGTTAACCTCACTATATATCTTAGATGAAGTTGTTATTTAATTAATTAATTAATTAATATATTATAAAATTTCCTTTTTAATTTTTTATAATATATTTTTTCGAATGTTTTAGGGTGTGGCGAAGTTTATGACGAAGGCGAGAGGCGGAAGGGTAAGTTTCGACCCGAACCGCATAGTAATGGCCGGCGGAGCAACCGGAGCTAACGAGCTTTTAATGTTCTGTTTGGCTGATCCTGGAGATGGTTTTTTAATCCCCTCACCTTATTATCCTGCGTAAGTACATAATTAATTAATCTTTAATTATTTCCTTAATTATGTACGTACGTTAATTTGCATTTTTCATGCAATTGTACTGTTAGAGTTACGTGTTAAATTAATGAACATGAGTGAAAACATTCTAGTATTACAACAAATCCTAGTACGTATTCTACTGTCAGAAGCCACGTGTTGGTCACGCGTTGAATTTTTATTTCCACACATTAATTAATGTCGTTGAGGTTGGTGTGAGTGTGACAATAAATTAGGCATTTTTTTAAATTTATATAATTAGTTATATTATATACTCCTTGGCATACATTGGAGTTAATAGAATATTCCATATGAATTTAATTGGCAAAAGAGTCCTTTCAATTTTTGAAGTATACAAATGTCAATTTTCCCGAGGAAAAAAAAGGTACTAGTTTTTCTGCATGTGGTACCCCACTATTTGATTTATGAAATCAAGATTAGTACTTATCACAAAGTCAACCACCATATTAAATTTAAAAAAAATAGTCAACCACCAACAACATCCACAGCTGTATATTGAGAAAGAAGAGATTTTTCTTTGTCCAACCCACCAATAATTAACTAGTAAAAAATAAAGATAATTATTAGTCAATTACATGTCATACTTTATCTTACCCAAAAAAATTAATATTTGATTTTTTATTTGTCTTAAATCAACTAAAAATTATTTATTATTTTTGACAGATTTAATAGAGACTTGAGATGGAGAACCGGGGTACAATTAGTACCTATTATGTGCCAAAGCTCCAACAATTTTCAAATTACCGAGAATGCCCTTGAAGAAGCATACCAAAATGCCAAAAAGGCCAACATCAACATAAAAGGCCTAATCCTAGCAAACCCTTCAAACCCATTAGGCACCACATTGGACAAGACCACATTGAAAAAGCTAGTCACCTTCACAAATGACAAGCAAATCCACCTCGTGTGTGACGAAATATACGCCGCCACAGTTTTCCGAGCCCCAGTTTTCGTAAGTATCTCCGAAATAATCGAAGAGATGGAATGTGACCGTAGTTTGATACACATTGTTTATAGTTTGTCCAAAGACATGGGCCTACCGGGCCTCAGGGTCGGGATTGTGTACTCGTACAATGATGCAGTGGTCAGTAGTGGCCGGAAGATGTCCAGCTTTGGTTTAGTCTCGTCACAAACACAGTATTTGCTGGCGTCAATGCTATCTGACGACGAATTTACCGACAAATTCTTGTTGGAAACTCTAGGAGGCTAGCGAGCAGGTATGACTCATTTATAAAAGGGTTGGACAAAATGGATATACAGTGTTTGAAAAGCAACGCGGGCTTATTTTGCTGGATGGATTTGAGGCCTTTATTGAAAGAGCCCACATTCGAGGGTGAAATGGGCTTGTGGAGGATGATAATTAGTGACGTGAAGCTTAATGTTTCACCGGGGTCTTCTTTCCATTGCCACGAACCAGGTTGGTTTAGGGTTTGCTTTGCGAATATGGATGACGAGACTTTAGAAATTGCTCTTAGAAGAATCCGGATGTTTGTTGGTAAACATAAACAAGTGGAGGAGCAGGCAAAGAAGAAGTCTTGGCGAGAAAGGAATCTAAAACTTAGCTTTTCGTCACTGATATTATACGACGACCAAACAATGACACCATCGCCTCACTCGCCGATTCCGCAGTCACCTCTTGTTAGTGCCAAGACATGATAGAATAATTTCTTGCAAAAATTTAATGAATATTGTGTGTGTCCAAATAATGTTTCATAATTTGATGTAATTTGTGTAACATATGATGTCACAAATTATTTTTATTTTTATTTTGAGTGATTTTTGAGTCTTTGACATTTAATAGTAGAATGTGATATGATGGGAATTAAGCCCAATAAGAAATTATAATTTTATTTCTAAACCGATAATTATTTTGGGCTTTTATTGTCTTGTTGAATTGGTAAGTCTAACCCATTATTCTCTTGATAGTCAAATCTTATAGTTAATTAATTAATTAAATTTTATTTTAATGGATTAATTAATTATGGCACTACGATTTATAAATTCGCACTAACTAGTAAATTGTAATCCTAAATTAATAACATTTTTCTATTTATTTACCATGGTTATATATTATATTCGACATTTAAAGTTTAAACCTGTATAATAGTAGTAATATGTACAAAATTATTTAATTATGTAGAATTATTTGTGATTGCTAAATGTATCTATCAATCTGAGGTGGCGCACACAAGTAAAGGTGGGAAGTGAATCTTTTGATCAGTTTCTCTCTTATTTTGGCTTGAATTGAACCAACATGTAAAAGTTTTCTATATTCCACTTGATTCAATTACGAATAGCTGCCCAAAAATCGTTTTCATCTAGTTTGTACTCTTTTTCTGTAAAAATACAGTTTCCGATGCACCACAATCTGATATATACAAGCCAAAAAACACATATTATGATCATCTTGCTTCAAAATGTGGAGTTCGAATGGGATAAAACGGGTACGAAAGTGATAATATTCCATATAATCTCGAAGATTCCACTAAATTTGAGGAGTTGAGGGGGTGATTGTAATTATCCAAATAAGAAGGGGGTTTTCGTAAATTGACCATACCTCAGAGAGTGGTTGTAATTTACCCAAATATATATAAAAAACGTGCTGTTATAGTCAAAATCATACTGATATAGAAAGTAAATGGTCGAAAACGGGCGGCTATTATTCCACAAAGCCGCCGGTACGGCGTGGATTGTGTTATGTGACTATTTAAGTAGTTGAATTTAAATTTTCTTGGGAATTTTTTAGTCAAAATTTACATCAAATGACAATGGTCGCATATGGAATGAATTTTTTCGGGCCTAGACATGAATTATTTTTGACTTAAACATTGGATTATGTCGGGACTTAGATTAAAAGTCCATCTCGAGTGATCTTGACCATCCATTCTTGTTTGACTGGTCTTGACCGTATAACCGGTCATTCAAATGGTTTTCGTATCCTAATTTCTCTCTCATTTCTTCCGCCATCTTCTCTCTCTTAAAGTTGAATGTTTTGTTACTAAAATATGGCGGTGTTGTTTCCATTTGGATATTCTGAACAAATAAATTGACTGTGTGAGAGGATAAACCATCGAAAAATAAATTACAGCTCCATCTGTTGGAGTTACTTCTGTTTGTATCTCTTATCTTTAATGGTCTCATTTTTTCCTTTGTATATTCGTTGGTAAATATTTATCGCAAAATGGCACCCAATTAATATTATTTAGTCACTGAAATAGTGAAGTTATCTTGGATCTACTATTAAATTTATTACTAAATGTGATTTCTTCAATGCTCCTAATTTAGCACTATTCAATCATATTTTGGACATTTTTTTAATAACTACCTGCAAAATTAATAGCTATGAAAATGCACTACTACTAAAAAATTAATCACATACAATTTTTTTTTTTTTAATCCAATCAATTGAACATATTAGTAACTCCTACACTTGGTGACAAACACACATTTCTTCAAAACAAAAATCATACAACAATTAGGAATTTCTCTAACAAGGAAAGAAACAAACTCAATAAATACAAATAAAATGAATAAACTAGAGCTTCCAATGTGTAATAGCAAAGCAATTTTGTCATGTCAAATATCAATCATCATCGCTTTATTTGTTGCCCCTTCAAAAACTTTTTGTCTTATGATGAAAATGAAAAACCAAGTGATCTTTCATCTAACAATATGGGCATAAATAAAAGAATAATGAAGCACAAAACAACTCTTGACTAGTAAACAAAAAATAAAAATAAAAAAATAAAAAAATAAAAAATGAAAAAAATAAAAAAAATGATTATCAAAAACTTTTATTCAACTTATATACACACAACACCAAGACACATTTGCATCATTTTTCTTGTTTCTATACTTAAAAACCAAGAACAATAGTAATTAGAAAAATAACACATATTAATTACCATATACTTCAATTTTGAAATTTTGATCAAGAAAATTAATTAGCATATAACACAAGCATTTGGATTCTCTTCCATGCTATGGTGCACATAGTAGTATGTGTTTGGAGGTGGGTAATTATACGGTCTATAATACGGCCGATAAGGCATTGCCGTGTTGGCGGCGACCACAAGTTCTGGTTCGGCTTTTTTCTCCTCTTCCTTTTTCGGTTCTTCTTTCTTCGCCTCGTCTTTTTTCGGTTCTTCTTTTTTTGCTTCTTCCTCCTTTTTCGGTTCCTCTTTCTTGGCTTCTTCTTTCTTGGGCTCTTCTTTTTTCGGCTCCTCTTTCTTCTCCGGCTCTTTGGCGGGGCCCACTGAGATTATATTCGATGGCCAATTCTTTTTTCTCAATTTACTCACCACGGTGACTGGATCGACTGTTCCGATTACCGTTAGCTTCTTTCCTTTGAGATCAACCGATATTTCATTGATTCCTGCAAAATTAAAGGAAATTAAAAAAGTGAATTGACATTTATTTATATTTTGCTAGCAGTTAATTAATAGTATGCAATTGCAATAAATAAGACAAGCATTATAATCAAGTTTCTAGACACAACAAACTAGACAAGTAAAATCATAGGTTTACTTAATTATTTTTAATTTCCTAAAAAAATCATTTTAAAAATTATTTCATCACTAGATTTCATTTTTCAGAAACGGTGGGGGCAACGGCCCCCCTGTTGCCCTAAGTTTAAATTATTAGATTACAACAACAATAAACCAATACATTAAATCACCTCCAACAACCCATACCATTCTATAAGTTTGCCTCTGAAAAAAAAAATAATAATACTAATTAAAATCAAGATTAGTTTTTTTTTTTTTAAGCAAAGATATTTATTAAGAATAAGCATTCATAAATAATAATAATACCTGAAAGGGCAGACACAGTCTTCAAAGCCCTTCTCTGCTGGTCTTTGTCATCTTGCAAATCCAGCTTCAGTACAAATTTCTGCAAAAAAAAAAAAAAAAAAAAAAAAAATTAACCCATAAATCATCAATTGTTAGAAAATTAAAATTTAATCTAAAAATAAATAAATTGTGCACTCTGAATAAAGATAACAAAAGAAAGACAGGATCTTGGAGTGTAAAAAGCAAACATCTGAAAGATCCCCAAAAAGATTCTACAAAAGCAAATAATATTCACAATATAAAATTAAATAAAACTGATGAGAAATATATAGAAAGAAAGAATCAAAGATCAGACCTTTACTTCCATTTTTAGGGTTTGATCAAAGAAGCAGAGAATCAAGTGTTTTTCTACACTTGAAAAGAAAAATGAAGAGAAGAAGATGAAGAGATTGAAAAACACAGAGAAATATAGAAATATAGAGAGAGAGAGAGAGAGAGAGAGAGAGAGAGAGGAAAAGACAAATGACAAGAATGATGGGGTAAGGGGTTATTATTTGGTAATTAATTATTATAAGGAATAAAGAAATTCTGGTAACAAAAACAAAACAAATTGAATAGCTGAATATGAAAGAGAAAGAAAGAGCAGTATTGCCCACTTCTATCTCTCTCTCTAGATTTAGAGAGAGAAAGAAGAGAGAGAGAGAGAATGAGAAACAGTGCACGTATCTATTCAGCGAATGTGACGTCAGTGAAAAACCACACGACGCCAGCGGGGAGCTTACTTTACATAAAATGTTATTTTACTGCAAAACCAAATAAAAAATATTATTAAATTATTATTTTATAATTGCTCCTTCTTTTGCGGGACCCACAGGGAACTTTTCCAGAGAGTGAAGCTCAAAACGTCACCGTGTCAGCCGTGCTCAATGACAAAGCCTGAGTATTGCTATTGCATTGCATGCATTATGGCTTTTTTTTTTTTTTTTTTTTTTTTTTTTTTTTACCATAATCTTTTTTTATTTTTGTAGATGCTACATTGTAGTATATATATATAAACTCAATAAAATTTATTACAACTAGATTATTCTTGCATTGAATTATTATGAAATTTCACTTTATGTCAAATTGAAGATATGTAGGCGGAGAAAAATAGCCGGCCTATATGTATATATATATATATATATATCTGCAATCAATGTATACGGGCCACCATACTTGACAAGTATATTATTATTTGGTCACACTATTTTGCTCAAGTGGATCTAGAAAAAATGTTCCAATTTGTATTTATATTCAATGGGTTTTTTTTGGTGTGGCCCATTTGTGTATTTTATCCATTCATTTCCTCCTTTTCATGAATATTATTTATTTATAAACTCTTTTTTAATATTTGAAGATAGGAAAAAGAATTACAAGATTATCTCCTCCCTCTCTTGCAATTATTGATTAAAAAAAATGTAAAATAGATAAATTATGCATTCTACTAACGATATTCTCCATTTATCTGGAGATCGACAGTGAACTTATTGTTCGCAATAGAGGACTAGTGTAAAGAAACAGTTCTACTATTTTCAATTGAAGGCTCAAATTTTGTGTACGTTGGTTCACCTCTTCTTTCGATTACAAGTTTTTTTTTTTGCAGTTGAAGATGCGATTTTGAATTGAAATTGCGCAGAAGATATAATTTATAGGTATCGATCATACTGTTGGTACTGAAATGATTTGTGCAGGCCAAAATTAAACATTCAGGCACATTTTTTACCATTCTTCAAAAAACAAAAAGTAAAAAACTCAAAACTCTCTCAACCTTTCGATTTTCTTTCGCAAAGCCCGTGCAAATCGTCAACAGATCGGAGGTAATTTTTACGTTTTTACGATCCTCTTGTCATGTAGATTACGAATCCGGAAAAAAAAAACGAAAAAAATCACACGTTGGCCTGCTCGTGTGAATTTACACGAGCGCATCCACTGTGCTCGTGTAAATCCACACGAGCAGGCATTTTCACTATTTGTTTTTTTTTTTAATTGCTCGGGTAAAAACACACGAGCGGTTGCAAAGTGTTCGTGTGATTTCACACGAAGGCGGGGGGGCCGCTCGTGTGTTTTTACACGAGCAGATTTTTTTTTTTTTTTTTTGATTTATAAGATGCTCGTGCAAAAACATGCGAGCATTTCAACAGTGCTCGTATGAAATCAGATGAGCACTGTTGAAATGCTCGCATGTTTTTGCACGAGCACAACAATTTAATTTTTTTTTTTTTTTTATTGGGTAGGAATAGTACAAAAGGTAAATAGTTATGGTAAAAAGGTAAAAAATCATGGTAAAAAAGTGCCTGAATGTTTAATTTGGCCTGCGTATATCATTACCCATAAGTTTAACTATGCTAATTGACCAAATAGTTTGAGAGCTTATTTTTTTTAGTCAATTATTGCATATTATAAATGTAAAAAATATCTTATAATAAAACATAAAACATATATAAAATAACACCCTTCTAAATCTTATGTTATTGTTTTTATTTTTTAGTTTTTTCAATGAACAGATAATATACTATATCAGATTTTGTCATTCCCAATGGTCTCAGACGCGCCCAATGCGTGTGACCGACACGCTCCACTTTATCATTTACTTCATTTTCCCCCTTTTTCACATTCGTTCTCCAAATGGGAAACCCTAATCCCATGATTCGGCACTTCTGATCGTTTGAAAATTTATCCTGTATGATCCCAAATTCGGAAAACGTTCCATAAACTTTTTCCCGAAGCTTAGGGTTTTGGAGATGTACAATAACGAAGATGAATTGCAATTATCCATCTACAAACCCCTGACTTTCACCGGCGGCTGCATGGAAATCCGGCTGTTCTACGTCCGCGTCGCCCCCTGCGCGGTGGAATGCCTCCCGGACCACCTCATCCTCCGCCATCTCCGCCGCGAGGCCGGCGTTTTCCTGGAAATCAACGGCGTTCGCGTCCCCCCATCCGACGCCGTTTCGGTCACGCTCCGCCGCGATCGTTGCAGCAAGGACACCTCCGACGTCACGTACGTCAACACCGACAGCGTCAAAATCTCCGGCCCCTTGGAATTCGAGGTGTGCCATGAAGATGGAAATGAATTGGATTTGATCCTCTGCGGCTCGGTGCAGAGGGATGAATATGATGCTGCTCCGGCGGCGTGGTGTAGTAATGGTGGTGAATCAGTGAGCGATTCTAAAAATGGTTGGAATATGGATTGCTATGTGGCGAATGTCACTGCAATGAGTGGGAGGTCGACGTTTTTTCAGCCGAAGATTGGTGTTTCGTCGCCCACGATCGAGGTTTATGTTGCGGGGTGCTGCTCAGGAATGCCGGTTATTTTGACGAAGATGACTTTAGTCAGTCCAAGAAAGAAGGTGTTGAGGCAAGGGATGCTCGATGCGATACCTGAGGATGAGGAGATAGGGAAGGATAACACGAGTTTTAGCAACGAGTTGGTTCGGCAAAGAAGTTCACAGGTTAGCCGATTGTCTTTATGATATTCCAGCTTTGATTTTTGATTTATTATTTTTATATTTAGATTCCAATTTTTGCATATTAATGGGGGATATCTAAGTATACGTTGAGGTAGGGTGCAAAAGTTAAGAGCACATTATTGTAAAGGAGCATCAATGAAAATAATCTTTGAGGAAAATTGTTCGATGAAAATGTTTGAGAGTTTGGAATCACGACGAGTGATATATTTGCGAACTTAAATATTGTTTAGAAGAAAAAAATTCATCTATTAGTTTGATGATTTTCAGTACCTGGGGGAGGGAAATAGGCAACCTTGATCGCATGACGATGCTATTCTTGCTGAGAATTAAATATTTGTCTAGAGACGAGATTAATCGAGTCAAGGACAACCACAAAGCCCACAAAGCTTATTGCTTGCAAACACAGTAAATGTCGAGTGATCAGGTTGCTAATAACACGTGTAATGCTAACTATGTTATTTATTGAGACCATTGATTGATCTTTGACATTTTCCATTCCGTCAAACTTATATTTAATGAAGCAGAATCAATTGAGGCTTCCCAACTAAGGGAACACGTTTGCACACCACTGAATTTGCCTAATAGTGTTCACTTTCCCACATAAGATTGGATTTTCTTAAGTTATAGTTAATGTTATGTGTAGATAATCATGGGACATGGGTAAAACTAGCGCGTGATTTCAACACTTCTACTAAAATTCGGAAGCACTTGAACTTCAGTTTAGTTATTGTGCCATGGGGATGGTAACTCTACTGATAGCTGTGATCTTGTCGTAAAAATAATGGATATATTTTGCTAAGATGATAATATATTGACATATACACTTGAATTTGGGCTTTTTATCCAGTTGATGAAAGCATGACACGGACGATTACGACTCGGATGGGAAGGTTAAACCAAACTATTACTTAGAAGACATGTATTCTGTTGAAGATGGCGAACTTTCGTGGTTCAACGCAGGTGTTCGAGTTGGAGTAGGAATAGGGCTGGGTATGTGCCTTGGTGTTGGTCTTCTCTTTCGATCTTATCAAGCTACCACTAGGAATTTCAGGCGGAGATTTTTCTAATTTTACGCCATTCATACTTACTATAACGATTAATATGCAAGTATGCTTCCTTTCCGGATAACTAAACTAGAATATTCCGTCATGTTGCCGAGAAAGTGATAGAGCACATCGGATTCTTGGAAGGTTCTAGAAGTTATCTTCCGTCTTATTATGCTTGCTACCGAGGAAGCATTGTTCGTAGGAGATTTTGGGAGAAGGTCTGTTGATATGACCTCTATGTTTAGTGTGTCCCATTTTTTACATGTACTGTTTTTTAGTCGAAAGTCTCGAGTTCAGATCTTGCTCTTGATTTTTTTTTTGTTCGTTTTTTTCCTTTTTACGCTTATTTGGTCAATTTTGTTTTAAAGCCCAAATAAGCAGCCATGGTTAGTTACAAGAGTTTGCTGCTCTGTAAGGTTACTGTATATTCATGGCAATTGTTTTTTGTTTTTTTTTTCTTTCTTTTTTCTCCTGCAGTTTTGTTTAGATTGGCCTTGGCTGGAAATTGGAATTTGCTGTATGAAGGTTTTATTTTATATATTCAAATAAACAATCTCTTTTTTATGGGGCATAGTTGGTCGAAAAAGACCAAACCGGTTTAGCTATTGTAAGCGGTTCAACAGTTCAAACCGGTTTAACAAAGTTGAAATTAATAACAATTCTTATTTACCTACTAATATGTACCTTCATTTGTGATATTTATACTTTACTAGAGCTTAATGTAATATCTTTTTTATATATATATAAATACAGAATTTATAGAATTGATAATAATACAGTAGAATTTCGATAAATTAATAATCTCGTTTAAAGGTTTGTTCTGGTCTTGACTCGATAAAAACCTATTAAATTACTAGTTTAATAATTTAATATTTCGCTAAATTAATAGAATTTTGCCTGTATTAATTTATAGAAGTTCAAGTGTAAGTCGAAAAAGATAAGGAATGAACAAAAATAAGTATTGAATAATTGAAGGGCATAATTGGAATTTCTCACAGTCCTCCCAATTTCTTTAATTGCAGTATTAATAAATAGGGTAAATTACACACACCCCCCTGAGGTAAGCTTAAATAACTGTAAGGTCCCTGTGGTATCGATAATTACACTTAGCCCCCTGAAACGTAGTCAGAAACTCTAATGGGATAATGAA